AACCACGGCCCAGTTCCCATCCAAGCACGCAGGCTGCCACGTCAAGGTCACACGCCACAACTCCAGGGACGCGGCGGGACACGATAAGATGGCATGAGCATGGACGTGACGTGGGCATGGACCAATCACAAGGCCCCCCACCCCTATTTAAGCGTAGCCAACGTTCGCTGCTGTCTCATTTTCTCTGACAATGGCTTCTCGTGTCTTTTTCTTCTTTACTTATTAATTAAGCCAGCCTCATAGTCATCTGTTGAATTCTACGTTCATTGCTTGCGAAATTCTGTTTGGGTAGGCAACGTACCTTATTAGGATTGGTGAACTCCGTACTTTGTAGTAAGCTAGGCAGGTAACTTAATCCTAATGTGATTAAGCTCATAGCTCCCGGCTAGCCCTAGTACCTTACGTTGTCAGAACGTTGGCTGTACTGAAGCCTTGCGGATTTGAACACCACTGAGGTTTGCACAAGTAGGTCAAATGAAAATGCATCGTCTTCCACAAATGACTCTCTCTGACAGATTATGTGTGTATTTATAGCCGGCCGTTTCGGTTGACGAGATTTCTGCTCAATGCGTTTCAAAAACAGGGACAAGAATATCGGAGCAATGCCTCGGAGACACAGACCAAACCGGTTCAACGGACGCAATGTAGTCCCAGGCAATGGCGAGAAACGTGCTTTCGAACGCGATTAAGTGACTCGTTTAGGACTGTGGACATTCCAAACAACGGTCTCGGCAAATAAGCAACGTTCGAGCAGACTGGCGATAGAAAACTTCGTGATAAAGGTTTGATTACTCTTTTGCTAGCCGTTCCATAAAATTCAACAGTATGTATTGGAGTTGTCAGTCTTTCCATCTGGTAAATTTAGAGAATATTCAGTTGAATGTTCATAACTCTGCATAGGTGGATGTATTTGTTGGAGTGAAAACACAGAAATCTGTAAACGATATGGGTCAATGTTATATCCCGACAGATAGGCGGGAAAATACAACACAGTCGCCGTAAGAATTACAAGTGAAGAGGCCCCCACGACAAACCGGCCGGAAGAGGCAGGTATCCTGGACCCTCTACCGTGGGAACAAGGCGCCACACTAACTGCTGTTCATGACCTCGAACGACCCCGACTTCACTGACAGTTAATTAGCGTACACTACTTTAATTGCTCCTGTTATAGCCCAGTTTGTTCTGACCGGACTAGTAGGCAGAGGAAAGCAAGAAAGCGCTTTTGATGGCAATGGCTTTATTCAACAGCACACAAAGACAGTAGGGCTTGTGGGGTCCTTTGGCTTGTCCACTCCAGCATATTTCTATGGTTCCGGTCATTCTAGAATATTCCTGGCGTACTGTGTGCGCCTAAGCATTCTAGAACCATCTCGACTACGGTCACTGCCTCCACTGTGTGGGTGGTCGTCAGGTTTGCTCGACACACGG